CTGAGGGCAGAGTGGGTGGGTGGGTGGGCGCATAGGAGCCCGCCGAAGCCGGGGCCCAGGGTCTGAGTTTGAGCTGCTGCCCTGGGGTCCTCCAGAGCTGTGGGAGGGGGCCAAGAGGGCAGGACTGCAGCCCCACCCATGTGGGGGTCTCGGGCCCCTGATGGCCTCCCCAGCCCAGCGGGGCCCTGCTGCTACCTTGGTCTTGGGGTGGATGAGCAGAACCCCGTGTCGGTTGATGGCGATGAGGATGATGGCTGGGTAGGAGGGCTCCGAGGTTTGCTGGGGAGGGGCATGGTGGTCAGAGCCCAGCTTGGAAAGCCAGGTGGCCACCTCCCTGAGGAACACGCATGCATACGTGCACACATGCCCGTCTCATATGTGGCATCAGCCTTGCCCCAAGACGTGTGTTTGAAAGAGAAGCTCAGGCTGCTAGGGCCAAGAGCTGGGTGGGGCCTGCTTGGGCAAGCCCAGCTGGCCATGGGTGAGACCTACCTTCACCTCGAAGAAGGCAGAACCAAAGGTGGGCCACCGGCAGATCCACTTTAGGAAGGCCACTTTGGCCTCCTCTGCTGTCTTGTCCCTATGCTTGTCACAGGCCAGAAGGATGCTCTGTGGGAAGTGAGGGTCAGTGAAGTCCTGGTGGGGGCCACTGCCTGACCGGGCCCTACACATGGGGCCCTGAGGTCCCAGCCCAGAGCAGTGCCTGTGTGCCTGAGGCCAGCCTGGGGGGCACTTAGAGCCAAGTGCGTCCCCTGCACCCTAGGGAGAAGAACGTGTCTCCAAGGTGCTGTGGACAGTGGGGAAGGGGAGCTATATGCAGACCCAGCCCACCCTCCAAGCCAAGGAATGTGCTTATTAAACCCAGGTGGGGTCCCTCCCCAACTCTAGTCAGGGACCTTTTTCCATTCCTCCGAGGACATTAGGCGGGTGAGATTCTCAGGCACAAGTTCCCTCAGGATCTTGGGGATACTAGCTAGCTGAGACTGGTCATTGTCGAACTGGGCCTTGAAGATGAGTCCTGCCAGGTGGACAGCATCCTCTCTTGAACACTTGTGGAATCCACGCAGGTACTTGGGCAGCTCCTGGGTGATGGACACACTGGGCCTTAGGCTGCTGCTCCCCACTCATGCAGGAGACAGAACCAGCAAGAAGCTAAGGCCCTCTGGGTAGGGTTTGCTACAGAGGTAACAACCCTCCAAGTTGGGGCCGGGGTCCCTGACAGCTCGCTGTGAACACAGTGGCCCGCTCCACCCTTATGTAGTTGACCCTTCAGGACAAGGGCCAGTGTTCCCAGGACTGCGGGGGCCCTCTGCCCCCTCCCCTTCCTGGCAGTCGTGCTGCCGGTGCTGGCACAGTCACTCCCCAAACGCTGCTCTCTTTCTCTCCTTCTGGCTCTAGAACCCTTAGGGGGTCAGCCTGGCCACCACATGGGGCCTGAAGGGCTCCAGAAGCCCCCTGGTGAGACTTCTGGAAGTTCCTGGACCACCCAGTGAGGGTCAGGCCTCCTAGGGCAAGGCGGCTGTGGGATGGAATGAGGGTGGACTCAAACCCCTACCAGGAAGGAGCTTGCCCAGGTACCTGGTGGTAATGGAGTATGGTGTCTGCATTCATGTCCTTGCCCGGGGCCACACTGAGCCACAATTTCCTCATGAAGTACACCTCATAGGGGAGCATCATGGGGGCACCTAGGCAGGGACGGCAGTAAGCACCCAGCCTATCCTGGGGCCTGGCTCTCACCAGGACCGCCCCAGCCCAGGGCCCTGCTGCCCACCTGCCTACATCCTGCCTGCAGCCCACTCTCCTTGATGCCTGCTCACATTGCCACTGTGTTTGCTCCTGCTGCCTCCCTGCTGGAAAGCCTCCACTCTTCTTCCTCCCTGGCCCCAACTCTTCCTCATTCTTCATGACTAGTATAGAAGCCACCTTCTCCAGGAATGTGCCTGGACCTCCCCATGAGCGTCAGGCCCCCATCCACCCCCTTGGCCCCCTTGCACCCTTCATCACCCTGCCATCTGTTCTAGGCCTGCCCTTATGCCTTGTACCTGCCCAAGCTGGGAGAGCTCCCAGAGCAGGGCCCTCACCACCTGCACCCAGGCCTGACCGTACCCATGACATGGAGGTCATAAGGGGCAATGAGTGAAAGGGCATGGGCCACACAGGAGATGTTAGGGGAGCCTTCTGACCCTGGCCCAGGGATGCAGATAGTCCCCACCCCTCCCCCTCCATCCTAGATGTACTCCCCCTTCTTTGCCCCTCCCTGCCCTACAGACACCCCACCTTCTTTCTGGGGCTTGCTTTTCTTCACCCAGTCAGACACCTGCCGCAAGGAGTCGAAGAAGAAGTCTCCCTCCTTTTGACTGATGACCTGGGGTGCATGTGAAGGGAGGTACAGGGAGGTGCACAGGTGGAGGGACTTCTGGGGAGCACCCTCTTGGGGAGCACTAGGGCCTGAGAGGCTAGGTGCTCATTTGGGGGCCTGTGGGCTCCATGAACCCATCCACCTTTGTCCTCACAGCCCCTCAGCGTGCAGTGAGGGGCCTGGGCCACCACGGGTAGGGACTACCACACACCCTGCCTGCTTTTTCCCCTTTGACCCTGGCCCATCTGCCAGCTGTACCTTGTCTGCGATCTTGATGAAGAGGCTGCAGCCTTCCCAGGAGGCCAGCTGCAGCCTGGTGGCAATGCTCTCACACACTTCCCGCACCCGCGTGTTGGCTCCCACCTCCAGCATCTGGGCACAGAGCCAGCGTGGGAATGTCTTAGGACAAGGTTTAGCCTGGATGACCCCCTCACAGCCTGACACTGCTGCACCTTCCTAAAATGGGCTGGACGTGCCCTGGCCTGAGAAGACTGGCCAGATGTTTTTGTTGTTTAGTCACACAGTTAACTACCTCGGGAGCCCAAGAGGCCCAGCCTTTAAACTTGCTTTGAGAACCCTGCAGCCAGACTGTGGGAAATTTCTGGGGGACTCAACCAGCTCCAAGACCACAAAGGCCACAGTGCCAATGGGGAGGGCTGGGAAGGCACATCGCTTTGTCTCCTCCGCCCCTCGCTCTACTGCTGTCACTTGGCCAAGGGCCTTTACATCACAGCTGGGACTAGACAGTCTCCCGCCTCCCATCTGTCCCCTCTGCCATCCCCAGCTGTCAACATGGGCTCTGTTCATAGGCACACCCAATGGCAGCACCCGCTCCCCATGCCTGGGGCAGGATCAGAAGCCCGCAGGGGCCCCGTGGCCCCTAGGACTTGGCGTGGCTGCCCGCACTTCTGGCCTCTTCTCTTCCATGTTTTGGCCTAGAATGCCCCTCTGTACCTTTGGGACAGTCCTGGCTTCCCACTGCATTAGCAGCCTCACCCGGGGTGGCCCTGCCCTGCTCTGAGGGTGCACAGCACTCACTTCACCATCATAGGGTACCAGTGAGGGCAGGGCAGACAGTTTCTTGGGGGAGATGGGGCGAAGTCAGGAAAGCAGTGAAGGTGAGACCACCCACTCCTCAAGTAATCAAAGTCATGGGAACTTGCCCTAGGCTGGGGCCAGGTGCTGGTAAGCCCAGGTCCCTGGGGCAGGGGCTTACCTCGCTGGTGTCGTTGGGGAAGTAGATCTTGTGGCAGATTCGGGAGATGTTCTGCTCAGTGGCCTCCACTTCTAGCTGGTGTGGGGGCTGCTTTCGGGGCCCCGTCCTAGAGCAGGACAGTGCATGCTGTGCCTTCTGTCCTGCCCGCTGCCCAGGCCAGCCCAGCCCAACCAGCGTCCTCCAAGCTAGCTACGTTAACAATGTGCTAGGCATGAAACAAGAAATAACCCCAGTGACCATTGCCAAGAGGGTGGTTCAGGGGGCTGCCCCGCCTGTGGCGCTTAGCACATGGCCCAGAGAAGGCAGCAGAGGCCAGCCTGGACTCACCTCCCAGGTGACCCAGGGTTCTGAGGAGGCCGTGAAGGCCTGGGACACACATGGGAGGACCTGGCTGGCCAAGGCCTTTGGCAGGCAGGCTGGGATGTATTCTTGTTCTCACACAGCAGGAGCATGGGACAGGTCTCAGGGACTCTGGCAGGGCCTTTCTAAGGGCACTCACCTACCTCTCAATGACCAGGGCTGCCACTCATTTTCACAGCCACTCACACAGCCATCCCACCCTCCCTCATACCCTTCTTCAAGCCAGGGGGCAGACAGCATCCAAGACAGAGCTGAGGAAACCTGCTTGGTTGTGGGAGAGCTGGGATGTGGAAATGGCACATGGATTGGCAGGGATGGGCCTCTGACTTCGGCCACTCTGGGCTGGGCTAAGCAGGAACATGGATGGCATGGGGCATCCAAGTCACCCTATGGCTTCCAGGAAGTTCCTTCTGTGCTCTGGACAGGCAGCCGTGGGGGTAGGGGAGCTCACGGCCACAACCGAGCCTGCCAGAAGCCTCTACTGACCAGCAGACCTGGCTGAGACCTTTCTGGGCCTCACTTTCCATTTTCCTCCCCAGTGGCTGGGGACCTGGTCTTGCCTTATTAAACTAATACCAGCTTCTGGAGAAGACATGGATTCTGGCTCCACTGGACTACGAACTTCTGGAGGGCCCGATGGGCCCCTCAGCCTTCCCAGGCTGACACTCTGGGGCAGTTGGGCATGGGGGCTGGCAGGCTCACCTCAGGACCCTCTGGATGCGGCGGCTACAATCAGGGGCCAGCGGCTTCCTCCTCCTGGTGTCTATGAACTTCTGCGCATGGGGCAGCAGTGCCTTGCCAGGTGGGAAGAGACCAGTACAGAGCCATAGCAGCTGCCAGCCCCGCTCCTCGCTATACCTGAGGGTGGCAGCGCCCATCAGCCCAGGAAGAGCCCCTCCCAGAGGCTAGGCCAGCCAGGCACCTTAGTGAGATGGCACACGAGGCCTGCCTGAGGCTACGGGCAAGAAGGGGTGATGTTGTGCCCATTTTGTGGAGGAGTACACTGAGGTTTAGAGAGGCCATGGCCTTCCTGGGTCACACAGGAGAGACAGTGGGAGCAGGCAGGGTCCAAGGCAGGCCTATTGCTCTCCCTGCTCTGAGCATACTAGAATGTCAGCAGGAGAGACCAGGGTTCCAGCCCCTCCCACTGCCACTGCAAGTGCCCAGGCAGGCTGTGTGGCTTCCACGAGCTTCTACCTCCCCCGCTGAACAGTGGGCACAGCCTCTGGGGTCTGGGTGAGGACTGAGGGGGCCCAGCATTTTACCCTCTGCCCCTACCCCATCCCCAGTAGACCTCTTGGTATTGTGTGTCAGCTGCTTCAGGATCTGGCAGTAGACCTCATCCTGCAGGGCTGTGTCCTGGAGGGCCAAGGAGAAGATCTGGTCGGTGAGCTCCACGGAGGTCCAGGCTTGCCTAGAGGGGTAGTCGCCCATGTACCTGAGGATGGGTGTGGCTGTCAAGGAGAACATGCTTCTGTGGATGCCTGTCACCATGGACCCTGACCCCGGCTCCACATGGCCCACAACTTGCCCCCTGAGCTGCACGCTGCCTTTGCCTTGTGCTCTGTGAGACCTGGCCTCTCAAGAGGTGGCTGCAGGGCTCATAGCCATGGAGTTGGCATGGAGATGGGGTGGGCTGGCTGGGGAAGGATATCGATGAAGATCTGACAGGCGACGTCCCGCAGCTCGGCATTGGCATGGACACGCTTGAGCAGAGGCTGCCGCAGTGGCTCAGGGGAGTGTGCCCACAGGTGGCCCCGGGACCGGGCCAGGGGGAACATGGCCCTGTTAACTGTCTCCTTTTCTGGGGCCCTATCAGAGACAGAGGTTGGTATGAGGGCCCTCCTCACCCAGCCTCTGCCCTTGCCGCTCCTCTGTCCCCTCCCCACTTGCCTATGTGTGGCACAGTGGGGAAGGAGATGCGGGCTCCAGTGTGGGTCCCTGTGGCGATGCTCTCTGCGCCCACAGCACTCAGCAGGGACACAGGTCACTGCCCCCAACCCCCTGGGTGGCCGTGGGAGGGTCAGAGGGTTGCCTCCCTGCCTGGGGAGGCCAGGTGGACACATCACCTGCCTCCAAGGCCTCCCCACAGCCATCGGGGAATGCAGAGGGGCTGGTGGGGGTGGGTCTCATGGTATGTCTCTAGCGGGTGGAGTGGGCACCTAAAGAAACCATAGGAGAATTCCTCCAGGGTATGCAGCTTCTCAATGGCCTGGTCTTCAAGCGGTGACTCTGCCTGTCGCCTCTCCTGGGCTGCCAGCTTCCGCTTCTCTGGTGACATGGCCAGCAAGCTCTGTGGGGGCACAGGCCTGTGGGTCTCCAGGAACCATTGCCCGTGAGGCCTTTCTCATAGACTCTTCCTCATCTGGTTGCCTCAGTGACTTGGAAGGCGCTGGACCACAGAGCTGAACAAGCCCGGGCCTACCCCTTCCATGTTACTTGCTGTATAACTCAGGACCAATGACTCAACCTCTCTGAGCCTATTTCTTTTCCCTTAGGAGGGCTTCTCAGACCCACCAGGCTCCCCTTCCCCAGGGCCCCTCTCCTCAGGGGCACCTCTCACCTAGCCCTTCTGCTAGGCCCCCACCTCTTTCAGGTCGCAGCACAAATGTCACTCCCTCAGAGACGCCTCTCTGGATAGAGAAGCCCCATCCTATTATTTGTTTCCATTACAACCAGCGCTGCTTCTTGGCAGCACTTTACATACTTGCCATTAATTGATCATTTGCTCAAATGCTCCTTGAGGGCAGAGCCACTGTTGTGTTCAATTCTATACTGCAGGCATGGGGTACACAGTTGGCACTCAAGGTATGCATGCTGGAATGCCTATTAGTTCTGCCTCCCTGGGTGGTCTTAGTGGCTGGAGTAGGGAGAGCTGGGCCCCCCTTAGGTCTGGGTTTAAGTGAGGCTGAGGCTGGGGAAAGGATGGCTTTGTTCTTAAGATACACCCATGGTGAAAGAGATGAAAGGAATGCCATTTGCTGAGCCTCACTCTTAAGTGCCAAGCATAGCACAAACACTGCCAGCTTCATGATTACCCCAGAGGGACAGTGGGGCTAGCGGAGCTGACCTGATGCCCAGGTGGCTCTCTGGCCTTCTGCAAAGTGAGGTGTAGGCCCCTGAGCTAGGACCCCAGGCTGTGTCCTAGCCATCTCCCCATGTGCCCAAAGGTGCCCGGGATGAGAACAGGTTACCAGCAGCTGTGCCGAGGGCTTGGTGACCGTCGGGATGGCATAGAGGCAGGTGGTGAGCACCAGCCCTGTCTTGCCTGTCCTGTCATTCTGGCCCTGAATCCAATTCTCAGAGGTCAACAGCCCCTGCTTCTTTGTCAGGATCAGCAAGTCCCCCTTCTTGAAGGGCAGGAGGGTGACGTCATCTGCAATTACAGGTCACATGCACAGGCAGAAGATCTACCATTTGAAGAAGCCAGAGCCCTTGGTAAATGGTGGATCTTCTGCCTGTGCTTGTTGGCATTTCATGGATTGTCTTTTTTGAGAGATGAGAAAGCTGAGACACAGCTGAGGGCCCAATGCCACTCTGACAGGAGCGGTGGTGGGATTCCCAGAGCTTGGGCACTCAAGGGCCTGGGGAACTCTGACCCCAGCTCCATCTTGGGACACCTGCTCAGGGGCTTGACCGGGAGCCAGAGCCTGTGAGGTAAGAGGTGAGTGGACAAGGGCAAGAATGGCCTGGCTGCAGTCCCCACACCTACCTGGGTTGTGTGTGATAACTCATCTGTAAAGTGAGATAACAGGCCCTCCCTCATGAAGTGGTGGTGAGGACAGAATGGATGGCAGGGATAAGGTTTCAGGGCTGAGGTTCTTACTGCTGTGAGATACAGAGCATAGTCCCTTCTTCTGAATACCATTGGGCCTCCCCACTTCCTTTGAAAGCCCTTGCTTGAACTGCCCCACCAGTCTCCCATGTGTTCTCAAGCTCCTGCTGGGGTGCTGGTGTGCAGAGAAGCAAGCGAGACTGTGGGGCTCAAACTCCTCTCCACCTGAACTCTGTAGCTCTGAACAAGGGGCTTCCCTTCTGGGCCTCTGGTTCTGTCTGTAAAAGGGGATAACAGGGTGGCTATGGGGGTGGTGCTCAAAGGACAAGCAGGTGGCTGGCTGCTCTCTGCAGGGGGAGGGTGTAGGCCCTACATGTGCTTCCCTCAGTACAGACCTTAGCTAGGGTAGCCTTGGAGGGTTTGAGATCACCTCCTTGAACCCCTCATTGTGTGGAAGGAGGGCTTTGCCCAAAGCTCCCCCCCGTGTTTTGTGGTCCTCTCTTTCTCTCTCTGCTCAAGTCCCTTGTGTCCTGCTCCATGCCACATGGCTGCTGTGACATGGAGACGAGCAAGTCGCCCTCCCATCAACCACATGAACTGCCCCTCATCACACCCCCAACCCACCCAGTCAGGCACCTGTGGCCTTCCGGTCTTGCAGGGCCATGGCAAACACGGACCTCTCCTTCAAGCCCTCCAGAAACGTGGCCACCAGCTTGGCGATGGCCACACTGCTAGGGGACACAAACTCATACTCCTCTTCATGCAGCGTGGACAGCACCAGCCTCTGTCCTCCCTGAGCCTCCCTGAGGAGACAAAGGGTGTGATGTGATCAGAGGCCTCCTTCACCTTCTCCATTTCAGCCTCTCAACAGCCTCAGAAGGGGTGACCCTCCTGAGTTACAGACAAGGAAACATGACTTGTCCAGGGCCACTGCAGGGCCAGGATCTGAGCTCAGGTCAGTCCAAGCTCCAGGCACCTGTGTGTGGGGGGTGCAAATGGCAGCCCAAGTTCAGGGCCCCTCAGGCCTCAGAAGCAGTGGGTGGTGCCAAACCTCCAGGTCTGCCCTGGGCAGAAAATGAGGTGGCCAGTGTACCAGATCACCCCAGGGACACTGCAAAGAACATTGGAGGTGAGATGAGGTGCCAGCTTTGGTGAGCTACCCAGCCTCTGCCTGCCTCAGTTTATTCATCTGCAGACTGGGTTATGCTGTGAGAACTTCATGGCCTATGGAAACACGCCCAACACAGTCAGCCTCAGTAAGCAGTGGCCAGTGTGTTCCCTGCACGTATTGGTGTACCAATTATAACGGTCATGACACACTGGGGGCTTTAACTGAAGGGGAGCTCTGCAGAGTAAAGGCTTTCCCAAAAGGCTTGGAGGCATTCTGAGGAGATGAGAGCTAGAGAGCCATGGGGGTGGGGTGAACAAAGTCCAGCCTGGCCTGCAAGGCCACACTAGTGTCACACACTCAGGCCCTGTCTTTTGACTTCTCTCCCAGATGGTCTGTACCTTCTACATGACCAGTGAGAAGAGAAGGAACCTGTAAACAAATGCACACTTAAAAGGCTGCAAGCTTACGTGCTCCTTTCTTGGTGGATTTGGTTTTAAAGAGAGGCTGAGAGGGCAATGCATGATTTGTAGATGCAGTACCAAAGGGGGCAGTGGAGCCTGGGACAGAAGAGGGCGGGGAGGTCCCATGTCCAATGGCCACCACACTACACACATTGGTCCTCATCCCGCACCCTGCCCGGTCTCCCATGGACAACGCACCATCCTCTCTCCGTCTCTCCTGGAGCCCCAAAGACTGAGCTTCTGAAGAGAGAGAGATTTGGGCACCTTCCCAAGGGTCACCCACCTGTTGGTGATCAGACTCATGACCTCGGGGAAAGAGAGTTCTAAGAGCATCTTCTCCCTTTGGTCCAGGAAGTACAGCCCCTTCCAGTTAACAGCCAAGATCAGCTGAGTCTTGGGCAGTCGGGGGCCTGGCCAAAGGAGACAAGGTGTAAAGCCTGGGCTGGTCTTGAGGAGGGGTCTCCACCCCCCACCCACCCTGTCAGATGCCATTACCAGAGAGCGTGGTGACTTCAAAGAGTCGGGAGAAGAGCAGTGGCCACCGCAGGCGGGCGGCATCTACCACCTGCTCCTGCACAGTCCGAGGTGTTGCCTGCTTCTGGGTGTATAGTGCCTGTGCAGGGATATGGCATGTCACTGCTACCACTCATCTCTCACTCACTCAGCCCCAGCCTCGCCCCAGCTAATACTCTCCCAGTACCCAAGTGCTTGTTTGCTGGATCATTCTTTGAAGCCTCTACCTACAGTGGGGCCAGTGCCCGGAAAGGGCCATGTGTGGAGGTTGCGGGGCTGATGCAGCCCTGTTTCACCTGCCCTAGGGGGAGGACCCATCATGGGTAAGTTTGAGAAGAGAGACACGCTTTCCTCCTCTTTAGCATCAAGACACCAGAGAGCTGCAGGGTCAGGCTGCTGCTGGCTACCTCTGCCTGGAAAGCTGTGTGCCAGTGCATCTGCATGCATGTCTGCAGATAGGTCTGTGAGCTCCGGCTGGCTCTTGCCAAAACAGGCCTTGTGGATCTGTGTCTTGTTCTGGGCATGTGGCCTGTCTTGGTGTGTGTCTGTGTCCTTGGTACTTCTGTCTTTCTTTTTCCACACATTTGGGAGGCATCTTTCAGGGGCCTCCATCTCAACCTCCCCCTTCGGATACCATCTCCACTGTCCTTCTTTCTTGCTATTCCTCCACCTTCACCCTTTCCTCTCCCCGCATCCACTGGCCTGTGTGCGTAATTAAACTTTCATTTTATGGTTGTTGAATAAAATGTTATTTCTCTTGTTCCCACTTTAAAAAGTGGTTGGGTAATATTAACTTACTAGGGTGAGGAATGTAAATTGATGCACTATATCTGAAGGGTGATTAGGCAATATACGACATGTATCAAATATGTTAGAATGTTCGTACACTCTGAAATCTCTTTTCTAGGACTTTATCCTGATGAAATAACTGTTGAGTGTATAAAAGTTGTATCTGCAAAGTGGTTCACCTTGTTTTAATAGTGAAAAACGGGAACTGATCTTAACATTCATCACTAGGAATCAGCAAAGTAATCATAATTTTTTAATATAGTGCTATGCAGCCCTTAAAAATGAACATGAAGATCAGTATGTAGTGATGTGGAAACAAGGCTCCATACTATGTGGTCAAGTTGAAAACTGTCATACTAGATGCTCTTTTTATTTTTTAAAAGGTATATTGCTCTCTAATCATATTCGTATCTCAGTTGTGTACATGTGAATAAAGTAGTCTGGAAGGATATATATGACAATGTTAAGCATGATGATTCCTTTGATACAATACTATTGCTTTCGCTTTTTTTTGTATTTGTATTTTCTTATTTACTTGATAATGTACATGTTTTAAGGGTTTAATGAAAAATCAGTGAAGCTATCTATGTTCAAGTTAGAAAAAAGTGGTGCAGTAAAAATTTCCTAATTCTTTACCTTTATCCCAACTCCTTCTTCCCAAATTATAAAACCACTTCTTACTCATGATCATTTGGGTTCATGTGCACCTCTGGTTCCCCTCCCTCTCGTAAAAACCCTACAGAATCCACGTTTCTCCTGCAAACATATCCACTCAGGCTGGGGAACACCACGAACACTCAAGAGGGGCTCTGCTACCCCACGTGCCTTGTCACAAGAAGTATTCTCAAGGGATGCTAGTGAACATCTTATGGAATGTTTGGGAAATGTTGGGTAAAAGTCAGGTTTTCTACTGCATGACTTGTCAGAGCTTTTCATAAGTGGCTATGCATTCCCGAAGAGTAGGACAGAGCAAGTCTGACTCCCAAACCACAGGCACGCAGGACCGTGGTCCATGGCCCACTTTGGGCACTTCTCTTTTGGGTGGCAGAATGTAGACTGTGTCATTTGGTCCTCTTCAATGACCTTCCCTGAACTTGAACAGCCCTTGCTACCTGAACCACTCAGCTGGGGCTTATCTCTCTGTCACTGGGCTGCCAGCCCCTGCCAGGCAGGCAGTGAGCTGTCTTATTTCTTACTCTATATCCTGTCCTTCTGGGTCCATAGTGCCACAGGCAGAACTGAGGTAGGGGAATTATTAACTAATCGTTTTATCTGCAGAAACCCCCATGTACAGCTCTATAGGAGCAGCAGCAGCGAGCCATTTCTGGCACCTCAGAGACACTTCTGCACCCTCAGGCCATGCTACAGAGCACAGCACGCTGGGAAGAAGAAGGCTCTGCAGAAAGGCAGGTCTTGGGAGGGCTGCCCCTGTGGGGAGAGGATGGGAGGCAGAAGGACTGTGAGTCAGATGGTGTGTCTTTGCTGTCCTCCTTGGGGTGGAAGTTCGGGGAGCAGTGTCGGTGTGGGTGATCCTGAGAACCTGAGTGTGTATCAGAGGGGTTTGTAGAGGCATGGGAAGGAGGCCTTGAGTTCCCCAGGGGAGCTGTGTTCATATGGTGCAGGCCTACCAAGCAGCCCTCCCTGTTGTCCAGAGCCCGCATCAAGCTTGCAGGGCCCAGGGAGGGGAGGGGACACCTAAAGGCTGGGGCTAGAGCAAAAACTCCAAAGGCAGGATGGTGCAAAGGCAAGGGTGTGGTCAGGCAAGCAGCTGTAAATGCCTCTTGTGCCCAAAGGCTGGGGCCGAGTCAGACACTGCAGTAGAGACCGGTAGAGACCGGTACCAGATGAACTACTCTGACCCAAGATGCCAACTGGAAAGGAGGAGGGAACATGGAATGTGCCTGGGATAGGGAGCTGAACTAAAGGAGATTGGTTAAATCTGAAGAGACAGTGCTTTACTAACTGGCAAGTTAAAGTTCCTGTTCCCCAGGGGATGGCGTGCTCAGAGCGAGGGGCTCCATCCCCTCTGCACACTTAGGCTCCCATCCCCCAAAAGAGAGCCCAGACTCTGTGGAGGCTGACCTTGGCATGGGCAGCAGAAACGAGGCTAACCCACTCCTTTGGGGTCTTGGTTCTGTACAGCTTGGAGGGGATGCAGCTAGGCAGCAGCTGCTGGATATCCTCTCTCCCCACGGAGGCACCAAGCTGCACGTAGCAGTGCTGAGCCAGCAGCTCCACCAGCTCTTCCTCCTGTGCAGCCCGAAACACATAGAAGGTAAGGGGGAACAGGTAACAGCCTGTCCTCCCCCATGATGTCCCCATCCCATGCCCTAGTGCTCACCCCAACACAGCAGAGATGACCAGCACTCGGGCAAGAACTGGCAGCGTGAGCGGCCACCAGTCCTGCCACCTCCTCTAGGCAGGACTACTCTTTCCTTAACTCAGTGGTTGGACCCACTGTGTGCCCTGACTGGGCCCCAATGATGAGTGTTCCCCATCCCCCCACTTCCAGCCTCCAGGGAACCACGGGGAGGTGGGAGAGGCCTGGGTGGAACCCTGACATTACTGAATGGAGTGAACATGTGCAAGGCCTTTATCCTGTCTTGCCCAGTCCTTACTTATCGAGAGTGACCAGTGGCCACGCTGCAGGGCTTCTGCAAGGACTCGGTTGAGTGGGATCTGGTATGGGGCACCCAGAATGGGTTCCCTGTTCCAGGGGCCCCTCACGGGAGGGGAGGATGTGTATCCGAAGTCCTGAGAGTAGCAGTGTCCCTATGCAGCATGTGCAGACCTCCCTGCCCGCTGCCACATTCCAGGCAGGCCTCCAGGACTAATGCTGCTGCCTGCAGTCATGAGCGCATGCTTCTCCTGACTGAGGCGCAGGGAGGTCTGCACATGCTGCATAGGGACACTGCTACTCTCAAGACTTCGGATACACATCCTCCCCTCCCTCGAGTCTCGCGACTGTACAAGCAGCTCTGATTACTCTCTGCACTTTCTAGATAAGGGCTTGAGGCTCAGAGATGACATAAAACCCAAGGTCGCACTGCCAGGAAGAGGCACAGGTATGACTTCCACAGTTCTAGGGATCCAAGGCCACATCCTTGACCACCAGGCCCTGCTGCCCCATAAACAGCTGCCTGGTGAGGTCAGGAGGGCCTGGAACTGATGGGAGGCCTTCCCCTGCCTGCTGCTGGTACATGAACCTCAGAGGTTTGAGTGAACTTGTGTTCCAAGAGAGGAGCAGCTGCAGGCCCAACAGAGGGGCCTAGGGACCTGCGCTCAACACACACACATCCCTGGGCCCCTGCTCTGGCCCCTGCGGCCCCTGTGGCCTGCCCTGCCCTGCAACATGGTGCCTCCTCAGGCTTTGATGGGTCAATCTCCAGGCCCTGACAGCTGTGATGCCCCCTCACCTTCTCGAAGTTGTACTCGCTGGACCAGACTCCATGGAGGACTTGGCGGTAAATGAGCTCAGTGCTGACAGCATCCTCACTGGAGTCATGCCAGGGGGTGAAGAACTCCTTCCGGAAGTAGAGGCGCCAGGGCGACTGGCGCTCACTCTCACCCCTCTCCCGGGTCAGCTGCTCGCACTGGCCTATGGCATCCATCACATGGTCGCGCCCACTGCCCAGGGACCAGAACTGAGGCCAGAGCAGGGGCAATAGGGGTTAGGGATGCTGTGTGCAGATCCTACAGGGATGCCCACCCTAATTACATGCATGTGGGGGAGTGCTCAACCACCCACTGTGGGTTCCTGGGGGACAGGAGCCCATCTGGACTCCCAAGGGTCACTCCACATAGGGGCATGGTTAGTCTCTTACTCTGACACTCTTCCCTGATGGTCCTTCCCAAGGGAGGCAGGGACTGATACCATGACTGCCGTGACTGGGGTGGTACACTGGACTGGCTGGTTGGTGTGAGTGAGGCTGAGGCTGTGGGCATCTGGGTGGGTGAGGATGTGTCAGATGGGGCTGTGCCATATGGCACTCCGCATCTGCTACATGGGAGTCTATAGCTCCGTAGTGTGAGGGGTGGGCAGGATGGGCGAGTGCCTAGTAGACAGTTGTGTGTGGGCTGCTCAGGTGTGCTGGGGGCCAGAGAGGTGTGCATGTGACACTGGTGCCAAAGGCCAGTCATTGGGCTAAGAATGTGTCTGTGCGGGAGGACAGGATGCCTGATGATGAGGTGTTTCTGTGAGTGTGTGTGTAGGTGTATACATGCATGTGTGTGTGTATGACTGTGTGTGAACGTGTGTGTATATGTGTGAATGTGTGTATATGTATATGTGTATGACTTATGTGTATGAATGGGTATCTGTATGTGTATGTGTGTGTGTGTCTGTGAGTGAGTGTGTGTGTGTGTGTATCTGTGTTTGGTGGCAGAGAGGGAGAGCAGTGATCAGGTTAGTGCAGTTCAAGGGCTTGAGCTGGCTTGGACATGTGAGGGAGGCAGGCAATGGATGAGACCCCTGGCCAGTACCTTGTCGTACACAGCAACCTGGAGGGAAAAGCCCAGGTGATCGGTGAGCCCTAGCTTGCGGGCGATGTGCAGGCAGACTTCCTGTGATATCGAGGCTGAGTCTATGGTGACAGTCAGGCTCTCTCCAGTCACCAAGATGACATGAATTGGGATGTGCTTCTTAGACTTGACAGCCTGGGGACAGATGAAGACTCGGGCTCTCTGCCCCAGAGGCCCCTGGGCTCACCTGCCTGCCCTAGAGCTTCCAAGACCCAGAGGCTAATACACTCTCCCCATCTCTCCCTAGAGTTCTGGCCAGCAGACATTGGCTACTGCACTGGCGGACTCGGTGGGGAAAGAGCAGCGCTGTCCAGTGTTGTCTGGCGGTGTGTGTGTGTTCTGCAAGCCTGCCTGGGTGGTCCGCAGGGTGCAGCCTGCAGGTGTAAGATCCCATTCTAACATGGGAACCCTGAGCTCTGGTGAGGCTGAGTGACTGAGAATCACAGAGGGTTAGAGGACCTCTTGGAAATCACCAAGGCCTGGACTCTGGAACATTTTTGGTCCATGGGAGCTGCAGTACCCACTGTGCATGACAGAGTATAAACATGCCCATAAAAATGTTGCAAGTTCATGTGCAACTCTAGGACTCATGGGAGAAGAGGAGGAGACCCTGTGGCCCTGGGTGGCAGAGCAAGAACAGGAAAGAATGTGGCAGGAGGTGACCCCAGTACAGGGCACCGCAGGGCATAGGGAGTGAGGGTCCTCCAGGAGCTGTATGTAGGGGGTGTACCCTCAACCTTGCCCATGTCTGAATGACCCTTCCTGAGGACACAGTGAGAACTTGCAGGTGATGCACAGCAATGCCACCAAGGATGACAACCTTGGAATGACCACTGCCTTCTTTATAAAATGGAGCATCCTTGGGAAGGGTAACACTTTAAGCAGCTAGTAGTCATTCACACTTTAATGCTAACTAGTTTGTAGATTAATTTTCCCCTTCAGCTAGTAGGGCCCTAAAGGAATGTGAATTTAGAGATGAAGAGGGCATTACTGAAGGTTGGTGGGGCTTGCCTGGGGAGGCTGAGTCCCAGGTGATGCTCACGGAGACCACCGGCACAGAAAGCTCCCCTAGCAGGTGGAGGAGCTCTGGGACACACTTCCTGCTGGCAGGACAAGAGAAGGCACCCCAGAATCTGTGCTGGAGGAGCCGTGGGGGCTGGCGCCACCCCACACTGACTGTCTCCCATCCCAGCCTGCTCGTACCTGCAGCTCCAGCCAGGTGGGGGGCTCTGTGCGCACCCCGTTGGCATAGGTGCGTCTCAGGCGCTCAGCACAAAAGGGCCCGTAGCCAGCTGGTCCTTCACCAATGAAGTTCAGCAGATACTGGTAGGTGAGGAAGGGAAAGGGAGGAAGACACTTAGAACAGAGGACCCTTTCTACTTATGTATTCTAAAAAGTATAACATTAATTGTAACTATGTGAGGTAATGGATGTGTCAACTAAACTTATTATGATCATTTTGCAATATATACATATATAAAATCATGACATTGTTCTTCAACTTACTATATTATGTCAATTATATCTCAATAAATCTAGAAAATAATTTTAAATAAAAATGATAATTCTCGGTGTTGGTGAAATACATTGAGATGGGTGCTCTCACACAACATGAGAGGGAATGTAACTTGGCACATTTCTGAGGAGCAATTTGTCAATGTTTTAAACAGAACATAGTTTTTAAACATGCGTACTCTTCGACCCCATAATTCAAACCTAAAGGCAAATATATATATTTTTAATCACTGTGGTGTTCATAGTGATGAGCAATTGGAAGATCAATCTCAAATATCCATCAACAAGTTAAATAGATAGCTATATATAGATGGCATTAAAACTGGCATTTGGGAAAAGTTTATAACATGAAAAAATACTTATGGAGACAAGTAGAGAATGCAGGAGAGTTGATGTTCAAAATATGTTGGGTAAAATGTGTTGAAAATTTCATCTTTCAGAGAGATTTTGTGCGAAGATGCAGCCTAGAATGATTTACTGGTGTCAGGAGTGGTCCTAGGCCCAGGGCAGATGGCTGGGGTGACCATGCTTCCTGCTGTCCCCAAAGGAACATGAGAGAAAGTTGGGTTGTTTTCTGCATGACCATAAGTATGACACTATGTAACACCACAAAAAGCCAGAAACAGTAACAGAAGTTACTTCTGGGTATGGAGGTGACTTTTATTTTATTTTTAGACTTCCCGTATTTCCTACATATTAGTAAGAACTGAAAGACATATCAAAGCAGCGAAGCCTGGGGCCTCAAACACTTGGAAGTACCTGTCAACACCCTATCTCCATTTTCCGTTGTAATGACTAGAGAGAGATGTTGCAGTCAGTCTCTAGTCTGGGCTCACTCCCGGGACACCTTTGTTTTTTGCAATGTACATTTCACCTGCCATCTCACTGTCACCTCAGAAGAGCCATCCTGGTGCCTGAGCCCAGGTAAACTGGCCCTGCAGACCTTGAATAGGGGGCAGAAGGACCGGGTCCAGTATCCTCTTTTACAGAAGGGAAAACTGAGGCCCAGAGAAATACAGGTGCTCCTGTCCATCCTGACCAGCAAGAGCAGAATGGGAACAGGGATCAAGATTTCTGGACCTGCTCCAGGGCCAAGGGCCAACCTATGTCCTCCCAATCCCAGCCCCTGCCCCAGGCCCTCCCAACCTTCATGAATCTCTCCGAGGGTGGGAAGCAGCCCAGGCAGAGGCTGAGCAAGATCCAGCCCCGGGCCAAGCTGCTCATTTTGAAGTTCTCTGACAGCTGCTTGCAGATCTGGCAGTAAATTTCATCCCTAAAAGATAGAGACCAACAAGAGGTCAGGCTGCAGGCTGGCTCTGAGAAGAAGAGTGGACAGGCATCTGGACAAAGAGTTCTTTCTATACCCCTGGGTAGGGTCGTGTTCAAGAGGCAACGTCCAGCCTCCTCACTTCCAGTTGTCTTTGCTAGCCTCCCCTGCTGCCTCTCCGGCCCACCTGGACCCTGTCATCTCCTAGGACCACGCCATCTCCAGTGTCTGCCCAGGGGCCTGCACCTCCACTCCTGTTAGCCCTCATTTTCCAGCTCATCAAGGACTCAGCCTTTGTCCTCTTTGTCAGTCATCTTGTCCCTTCAGGCCTTTGTTCCCTACCTTACCAACTCTGCCCACAATGGCCTGGTTGTCCAGCTGTAAGGCACAGAAGCAGGGAGCGCCCAGGAGTCTCCAGCCACAGCCCTGCCCTCAGTAGTCCAGAACTTTGATGACCTGATCTGCTCCTTTCCCCAACTTCACAGTTATTTCAAACTTTCTCCTTCTGTCTTGAGGTCCTTCTCCCTTCCCTGAATGCAGCCACTTCACCACCACTGCAGAGAGAAAAGTGGGGACTTCATGGAAGAACCCCTTGACTCCTCACCTCCTGACCAGTTCCCTTTTCTACAGGCTCATGAGTCTTTCCTCTCTGTCTTCTCTCGGTAAAGGCGCTCTGTTGGACCCTTCCCCACTGTATCAAGCCTCTATCATCTTATTAAAGTGTCCCATTAGCCTCTCCAACCTCACATATCCAAAGGCCAGAATCTTTCCTTTAATACTCAGTGATGTGCTGGAAAATATTCACTGACCAACTCTCCTGGGGAAAAAGAGACCTGATTCATTGCATTTGCCAATTTCTATGGTGTAAGTATTTTTACCAACACCAATTTCAAGCTACCAAAGTGACACAGAATTGAACACAGAGTTGTGAAGAGATGTGCCCCATCTACTCTTGCGGGCTAGTAGACTCAGCTACAGCACACCTCCTCTTTCTCAAGTCTCTACAGGCATCGCCATCACCCATTCATCCAAACTAAAAATCTGGGAGCCATCTTAGACTCCTCCCATTAGCCACCACACCCTATCATCTGTCTCCTGAATGTTTTTTTCTGTCTCTTCTTCTTAGCTCCTGTTCCATGGGCTATCTCTCATCAGTTTTCTCAGAACTTCTGTCATAGCCCTCTCTTGGCCTCCCATCGCCAGGCTCCTTCTCTCCATATTGTCACCAGGGAGAACTTTCTGGAAGTCAAATATGGTTATAATCTTCTCTTGCTTAAAACTTCTCCCTACTACCCTTAGGATTTAATTCAAACTCAGTGCCTGGCTGTGATAAACCACTTGGGCTGTTTCAAGACCCTGTGACCCTGTTCATCCTCCCCCTTCTGTCTGGCAAATGCTCCTCCTCCTTCTTACCCACCCCCCGGCCCAGGAGGCCATGACGACTACTCCTTCTTGGTACCCCTACTGGACCTCATCTTAGCACAGGCAGTTATTATGGGTCTCCAGATCCTCCCATATTCCCCAACTATAGGGTGACCTCCTTGAGGACAGAGACATGTCATCTACATCCCCGCATCTCCAGCCCTCAGGCCAGGTTCTGGCTCTGGGAAGGTACTTCATAAACATTTATTGATGTTTGGCTGGATGTGGGTGGGACATTTGCTTTGTCTTGGAATTTGGCTAAGACCCCAGAGTCAAAGATAAACTGATGATAACACTCAACCTTCTAAAGAAATACATTCTTATAAGATCTACTACAAGATGGCAGAACCAGTTCAACCACCATGCCATATCCAGTCTATACAAGGGAAGATGAGAAATTTGAAAAGCAATTTCTGAAAGACACTTCACAGGCCCATCTCTGCTTGCTTGAAATGAGGGGTGGGGTAAGGGGGACCTCGGGATACTGCCAATAGGGATATGGGCTGTCTTCCAAAGATAAGACCTATCTCACTCCCCATCTGAGACATTCTGTCTCAGAAGACCACTGGCTCATTCCAGGGTACTGAAATAAAGCAGCGATAGAGTCCTTCAGAGCGTTTGATTTGTGTACCCCAGAAACACAAGTTTGGGGCCTCAATGAACAAAGAGACATCTACTTCCTCCTGGAGAATTATGTTACCCTCGATGGCCAAGATGAAGAGAAAATAGTCAGGAGCTTGGAAATGCACTTGTACTGTTTGGTGGGACAGCATGGATAAGCTTCCTATTGACTAAGAGGATATCGTGGAAGGAACTGAGCTTCAGGTATCTTGATGAGATCCCGCACAAGCAGGCAGCCCATCATTCTAGAAAATACTAGCAGTAAGAGGTTGTGGTGTGTTCCATTAGGGGCTAGAGTTGGCAGAGAGTCTCGAGGTATCTCTAAGAGAGTGTCAGCCCCAGTTGAAGACCAGCACTGTGTGGAAATGCCCATGGGGTATCCAATGAATCAATAATGCATCTCATTTGGACATAGCTTTTGTGTCTGCCATATTGGAGGGTGTAGCAGCCAGTGAGGAGTAACTGTAAGAGAACTACGAATAGAACAAACTAAGTTAGAAGAGTTGCCTAGTTGGTATCATGCCAGTAGCTAAAACTTGAGTAGAAATCCTGAAGTCTTACTAGCTTGAGGAACCAGAGGACAGAGTTTGGGGTATCTACAGTAGTTGAGACTGAGAAGGGAAATCCTAGAATGAAGAGAACAAGAAAAGAAGAGTTCTAAACTTTGTATATAAACTCTTCCTTAATCTCTGCCTGACCCTTGGTTTACACATATGTGGGACAGACACCAGGCAGCCCAGCAAAGACTATAAAAACTGAACAGGGATTCCAGCTGCTGCTTACAGCGAGAAAGAGTTTGAAACCAACCAAATTAATTGCCTGCCAAAACAAAAAGTCAATACTCTTTGAAGGAATATAACAGAATCTAGAGTCTCTAAACATATCATCCTCAATGTCCAGTATACAACTAAAAAGTACTAGACTCATAAGGAAATACAGTCAACTACTACACATATGTGGAAACAGGAAAACAAGACCATTGTTAAGAGAGATGGCAGTCAATGGAGACTGCCCCCAAGATGACTCAGATAATATGATTTAGCAGAACAGGTTTTACAACTATCATAACTATGCTCAAGGACACAAAGGAAACTATGATTATAATGCATGAATGAATAGAAAATCTTGGCTGAGAAACAGAAACTATAAAAAAGAACGAAGTGCAAACTCTAGAACCTAAAACTATAATATCTGAGATTA